GCCCTTGATAATTTATAAATTATTATTTTGTCATATCTTGCCCTGTCCAACATCTCCCTTCACTGTGATTATTTTACAACTCTTCTTGATGAGATTGAATTATTGCATTGTATCTGAAGTGCTAATAAAACTGTCTTTAAAAAGCATGTGTCTATAGGTGCTGGGTTGTATTTCTGTGTTCTCTGTTTTAGTTCATTGGTCTAAAAACCTATCATTCTTATACCAAGCTTTTTAAATAGCTGTGACTGTATAATAGGTTTTGAAATTGGGCACTGAAAGGCTTCCTACTTCATTTTTTAGTAGTATTTTGTTTATCTTGGGTTTTGATCCTTCCATAAAAAGTTGGTGATATACTTTTCCATTTCTTTGAAAGAATTGTACCAGGACTTGGACTGGAACTGCACTGAATTTATGCTGAGTGATTGAGCTGTTGAATGCAAAGTTGATGATCTATAATTCATAATTTTAAAAATATTTTTTAAATTAAAAAATAAAGTGTTTGAGAACAAAGACGTCACTTTGAGGCCTAGGGTGTGTCTGACCCACACTATTTTCAGTCATTTCATAAGCATGTGGAAGTTAGATAGTGAATGAGTAAGACCAAAGGAAAAAAATGATTATTTTAGTGTGAAAACCTTTTCTTGACATTTTAGAAGTCATCTCATACAATATTTGCCCTTTTGTGATTGACTTATTTCACTCAGCATAATGTCCCCCAGGCTCATCTATGTTATGATGTGTTTCACACATTCATTGCTATCTTTAGTGTTGCATAGTATTGCATTGCATGTATGTATGTTTATCCACTTTTCTATTGATGGGCATTTTAGTTGTTTTCGTCTTTCTCCTTTTGTAAATAGTGCTGCATGCAAGTATCTAGTCATGTCATGGTTCCTGTTTCCTTAGAATATATATCAAGTATTAGAATTGCTGAATCATATGATAATTCTATATCTAACTTTTCGGGGGAACTGTCAATCATTTGCACAATAGCTCTACCATTTTACAACCCCATCATCAATAGATGAGGATTGGCTGTTAAAGTATTACCCCTAATGGTCAACCAGTACTTTCTAAATGTAAGACATTATGTTAACTTCATGAATTTGCTCAACATACCTTTATAATTAGCATGCATTATCACAAAAGTTCACTGTGAGTCTGAATCAGAATTGACAGCATGATGTACAACAGCATTGGTAATTGCCAAAGTACCCTCTGGAGTACTTCACTTAATAGGATTGAAGAATTTTTTGCTAAAATATTCATACATTAAAAAAATATATTAAGCATGACCCCTTGGGCTTAACCCCATATCTAAGTATGCTTTTTTTTTTAACTCCCTAAAAATGCTGCTAGTCTCTGGTGTTCAGACAGGAGTCCTGCAACAAATTTTAGTAAGATGGAATCGGGTCTCCTCAAGGTCTCAACCAGCCACAAATTCTACCCACTTGTGTTCATTATGGTGTGTTGTGACACAATGATGATTATGTGTACAACCCACCACGACCAGACTTCTCCTCGATGAGGAAAAACTCAGGATTTTTAGTACGAACTAGGTAAAACATTAATGAGAGTTAGGCACACAAATAACTGAGTTACTTCCTTGGACCTCTAATCTAACTGAGAAAATATTTTCAAATAAGACGCTTTCATTAAGGGAAAACCAATCCAGCATTCTGGTCTCGTTCTTTTCTGATATTTTCATAATTTGGAGAGAACTTAAAAAACAGCACCCCAAAAACCCAATCCATCACCCAGGGCTGCTGATAAGTCAGAAGAATTTACTTCTGAGGAAAACATCTTTCCTCCTTTCCCCAGAAAGCCAGGTGGACAGTGTGGCAAGCCGGCAGCCTAGCCTACAGGAATAGTTGTATATATCCAACATTCCTCTGTTGAGAGTGGTTGCATAGTTTGGCAAAGGATGCAAAATCATCAAAACATACTGATTTGATTAAAATGACAGACATAGCCAGTTTGGTTTTTTTTCCTTGATTTGTCAGAAAGAATGCCTTGCTGAAACGATTTTTAACCATATTTCTTCACTGAATCTTTACATGGAATTGTGAATTGATACAGGTCTGATGTAGGAAGAGAAAACCCAAAAAGAGTAGGTAACAGATGCTACCCTCATTATAAATTGCTCATATCTATTTATGTTTCTTTCTTTTTTTTTTTCTTTCAAATTTTTGGTCAGATTTTTTAAATTTTATCAAATGCTCTCATTAGCATTGGAGTCACCTATAGCAGTAACTGATGGTGTCACTTCCCTCCCCCTGGACCACCTCTTGTTCCAAACTATAGAGAAGTATTAGTAATTGGTAGTGTTTGTAGTGGTTACAAATTGGGCTGCAATCTGCAAGGTCAGCAGTTCAAAACCACCAGCAGCTCCATGGGAGGAAGACTGGGCTTTCTACTCCCCAAAACAGTTACAGTCTCAGAAACCCACAAGAGGTCACTGTGAGTCAGCATTGATTTAATGACAATGAGAGAGAATGAGTAATGTTTATTATCAATTTAAATCACAAGTTAATATAATTGTAAATTCCTTAAATACAATATATTTGGTTATATGATTGCTACAACAAAACTGTTTTATGAAATTGCTCTTCATTGAATTACATTATTAATTACATCACTGATGATTGAGTGGAAGCGTTTTAACTTTTTTCATTTTCTTTTATCTTTAGGTTCTCAAATAAGTTATTAGATACTCAAATAAGTTATTCGCCAATAAGTTCTCAAATAAGGTATTGATATAGATTCATAAATATTACAGTATCACAGCATTGTAGCTAAACACCAGAGAATTGTAACATTTTATAAAAACACTAGCTAAGCAACAAAAACAATAGCAAGTGCTTGAAGCAAGTACTGACAAAACCATGTGATTCAAAGTATCACTGTAATTAGGTAATAGTGACAACTCTGATCAGAATGCATTTGAAGGTTCAAAAAGTAAATTAGCATGGGGCTTTAGCTTTGTTAAGTATATTTGATACAGGTAAACTGAATTTATAGAAATTTTTTTCATTGTAACTACCAGGATTTCCACATCAAATGATATCAGCTGGAAACACGGCACAATAATTTTGCAATCATTGCTAACATCCCCTCCAACAATGGTCTGCACCCTCCCCCCACTTCCCTTAGTTACACTGCTGTTCTATCATAGTCTTGGCATAAGGATGACTCAGACTTAACTATCGTCATCAAGCGTCACACTTGATATTAATTTGGCCCAATTCCTTGTATCAGAATTTTTAAGAGAAACTCTCTATTAGCATAGTCTACCACCATCCTCCCTCTCGGGACCACAAAGGGCAGCTCCGGCAGAAGGCAGGCACATTGTGCACCCTGAGGCTGGCTGATCCAGCCCTGCGCAAGGTTCAGATAAGCAGCTGTCAGAAAGAAGAGAGCGGTGGGGGAGGGGAGGAAACAGGGAAAGGCAAGCCTTTAGCTCCAGCCCTAACTGCTTATCTCAAGTGTGCCTGCTTTGCATGTTAAATTTTTTCCTAAAAAGAAATAAATGCGAATGGAACTCCAAGCTCTACAACCGTTGACCAACGCATCGTACCCCCAAAGCCAAGGTCCCAGTGCCTATAATGTGCCCAACAACAAAACAGGAACCATCAGGTCCAAGTTTTAGTAATCATCTGAAACCTTGACGCCTACCATCCCCAGCAAAAAAAGACTCTCTTGCCCTCAATAACGAAAATGAATTGGTTTCGGAACGTTTATTGTAAATTCAAAGCTTCCATTGCAGCAACCTTTAAAACAATGTATGCATAACCCGGATCTGTATTTCAAAAGCGGTTCATGTCTGCCAAGTTCGACACAGACCTTGTCACTGAATAAACTCCACCGTCGCCCCGCCTTTCTCCTAGGTTCCTTTGGGTGCGGCTGAGTCGTGTCTTTGAGCCAGTCCTCCTTTCCTCCGGTCTGCAGCCTGTCTCTCTCTCTCTCTCTCTCTCTCTCTCTGGCTGGCAGGGGAGCAGCAGTTTCTGACACGTGCAAAGTGCCTCAGCTTCGGGTGGGCCTGACCCTCACCGTCCCAGGTCCTCTCCACCAAGCTTGGGCCCCCACACCCCGATCCTGCTGGCCTCTACAACGCCACGGCCTGCTAGTCCAAGGACTCACGCCGACTCCCCCTCCCTTGGGGGCCGAATCCCGAGACCTAGTCACGCGCTAGGCCCTCGGGGAGTCGCGCCATGTTGATCAGACAAACGTCCCGGTGCTGGGCCGTCACTCGGGGAGGGGAATACTAGGCACCCAGTCATTGACGCTGCGGCTCTCCTCGCAGAACAAGTTGAGCTTCTCCAAGGCGGGATCCTTCCAGGCATGCTCGTTGGGATTCTGCAGGGAGAGGGCACAATCAGGGTTAACCTGGCTGCAAGGAGAGGGGCCGAACCGGGGCAAACAACCGGGCCAGCACTTACTGAGATAAGGATGCAGTGCAGATCGCCGGGTGCACCCTTCTCCTCCCCGGTGCCCACGATCGCTGCCAGCCGCTGCACATTACCGACACGCACAATGTCAATGTCGTTCTCGCAGCAGAACGCCTGGATGAGCGTGAAGTGGATCTGCAGAGCGATGTCACTCTCATCCTCCTCGTCCGCGGCCAGCACGCAGAAAGTCACGTTGTCAGGATCCCTGTGCGCGCAGAGGGAGCGAGGTCAGAGCCGGCACAGGCTGGATCTCCCGGCCACTTCCCCCCTTCCGGTCGGCGTACTCACACGTTCAGGACCTTGGCAGACTCGTAGACGCCAGCGGTAAGGCAGCCCTGTCGCAGGGCAGACAGCAGTAGCGCGTGCAGCGCTTTCCCGGCACTCTGCTTCCTGCCAGCAACGAGAAGCTCGGTGAGCTGGGCGTGGAGAGCCTGTGGCGGGAGCCCCTGCCCCCCACCAAGCATCACGCCCTGGGTTCCCAGAGCCAGGCGCAGCGGGCTCCTACTTCCCGTCGGCCCTGCGGACCCAACTCGGCTAGGCAGAGCCCCGCCGGCCTCTCCGTGCCCCCCAACGCCCGGCTCTTTGCGACGACTCACCGGCCGGTGCTCTCCGGCAAGGTCTCCTGGCCACGGACTTCCTCCAAAGTCATGGTCCAAGCGTGCAGAGCAAGTTATCCACCAAAGTCAAAGAAGACAAAATCGCACGCAAACGACGCACGTTTGCGACGCACCGCGGAGCCGGAGCAGCCCACCGCGCAGCCAGAAAAGCGAACTGCCAAGGTCGAGCGCCCCGGAGCCAGAACACGCTCTTATACAGCTCGGTCGCTCGGAGCACCACCAGCTGGCGCGAGGCTACCGGCGATTGGCCCCGGTCGGCTTTCTGATGCAAATGAATCGGTGGGCCGGCTAGGTTGCTGCCAGAAGGCCAAAGGGGGTTGGGGGCGTGGAGATGACAATGCCTCAAAGCTGTCTCTTTTGTCAGGCTGTTGTTACTAGGCAGACTGCAGCCTGCAGAATTCATCTCCCCCTTTTCTTCTTTAAATCCTTAAAAGGAAGTCGAAGGTTTAAAAGTATATATATTTGCTAATAGGATGCTGCCATTTGTGAAATCCACCTGTGGAGACTTAAACCTATTTTTGCATTTATTTTATTTATGTTTTGGCTACCTTTCTGTATTTTCTGGCCTTTTCGTTTGAAGTTCATAAGGCTTTGACTTTTAAACTGGAAGGTAACGTAAAAAGCATGCACCGCTGCTCGGCAGCTTGCAGGCCGCAGTGAGTAAAGCCCTTTCCAGCATCCTGCTAACTGCTCCCGGAGTTAGAGGTCGATCCTTGCGATGTCCGTTTAATCCTCTGACAGGGGTTTTGACTGGAAGGCCCCAGCAAAGTTCGGCCCCGGCAGCCCAGGGGGCCCAGGCCACAGAGCAGATTGCTGACGGCACACGCGGCTCGTTTGCATTTCTATGGAGGGCACACAATAGCTGAGGTCTGGCGTGTGGCGGCTTGGAATTGGGACAATTGGGGCTTTCTCTTCATAGCAACACTGTCCACCTGCTGTCGTGTGGGGCTGTTCAGGGGCCCGCCAGCTCCTGGGGACCTCAAAGCTGCTCTGGCACGGGAGCCAGGGGCCTGTTCTTCCTTCTTTGCGCGGTGCTTCCCTCACTGCGTGGCCCACGCTGCTGCTGCTGCCCGTTCATTCTCCTACTCTCTTCCTCTTTACCCTGCGTTGACCAACCGCGCTGCCCTTGGCCTGGACGTTTTCAGTGATAATCAGAACTGACAGTCTAATGCAGCTGCACCAGCTGAAAGGAATTTGACAGCACAGAAGGTTGTCCTGCGATGCTATTATGACCCTGGTGCCCCACTGGCCCAGACCCTATAGCCTGGGCATGCAGGACAATCAGGTGGCGGGGGCAATAGAACACATGGAGATGCAGGCATCTGAGGAGTTTGGGGCTCCTCGCTCTGGAATCTTTTTTCCCAGAACGCCCCCTAGAGACCAGTCACAAATATCCTGAATCCCTTCCACCTTCCATTGCCCTTTGGAGACAAAGATATTCTTTCCTTTTCCTTTGCTTCTGGTCCCTGGTCATCCAGCTGCCCTAACCGCCCGCATCTGCCTGAGTCCCTGAGAAGCTATGGAGGGGGAGGAGATGCAAAAAGAGACTCCCACAAGTGCACAGCCCTTAATATATTATTTTGAAAATATTACAATTATTTAAGTAAATTACAAATATACCAGTTCAGGAGCCCTGATTTTGTGGTTCTTAGAGCATTTGGCTGATAGCCACAAGGACAAAGCTTTGGAAACCCTCGGGGGCAGTTCTACTCTGTCCTATAGAGACCTTATGAGTCAGACTTGATAGCAGTGATTTTGAGTTGAGAATTTTTGTAGTACATACCAGTGTTGAGGACCCCTGGTGATGTTGTGTTTGAAACCACTAGCCACTGGGGAAAGTTGAGCCTTTCTACAACCGTAGAGTCACAGACTCGCAAACCAACAGGGGCAGTTCTACCCTGTCTCAGAGGGTCACGATGGGTCAGAATTGGCTCCATGGCAGTGAGATGATGTGCTCTTGAGTCCAATCCATTTGCACCACCCAGGGGAATCCTACTTTAAAGATACATTTATATACGCTTTTTTCAGGAATAGAATAATAAAACTAAAAGTGATCTTGAAAGAGTTTAAAAGAAACTGATGATACCTGGCCTCTTTTAACCTGCACTTCTATGAGTCCACCCATTAAGCTCATTACTTTTGGTTGCAACATTTTTCTATGCCCTGTTGATACATACAGGGCGGCACCCTCCATTGGTTCTCCTTTTTTCTTAGGGGAGGTCTGGAACACTTGAAGTCAGGCAGTCAATAGATCCAGGGTTTCTCTGAACTTGAATAATGGATAACAAAAGCAACGAGTGATTTCTCACTTTAAAAAAGAATGATGATAGCTGTCTTTTGTAAAATTCAGACTTTCTCCAGGTGAGTGGTGAATGGACAATGCAGTTCTAAACTTCATAAAGACAACTTTTTATTCTCCTGAGCACATTGCTTGGGGGGTACTGTGCATGTCAATTGAAAAGTGTAGAACCCACAAATGTACAAATGTGCTGACACGATGGATGGATGGATGGATGGATGGTGATAAGAGTTGTACGAGCCCCCAATATAATGATTTTTAAAAAGAAAGAAAGAAAGAAAAGTGTAGAATCCAGAGTCCTATGCCCACTGGTGGCTGGCCTTACAGAGGAGCACAAGAAAAGCAGGACCCTTGGGTGCTCAACTTTATTGTTTTGTTTTTAGCTTGGTGTTTTAGCATGGGTGTGCTTATATCTATTTGTGTCACAGCTCTTATTTCTTCAAGATATATCTTAATGGTATTATTAAATACAATTTTTAATTTAAATTAAATTAAATTAAATACAATTTAATAAATTATTTAATAGAGTTATTTAATAAATTATTTTATACAATTTAATAAATTATTAAATACAATTTTTAAAATATATCATAGTCAAGTTCATACAAGGATAGTTCAACAGAAAAACAATCAACATAATTCAACACATTAAGTTAAACAAAGGAAAGGAAGGAAAAGGATTTTTAAAAATTCAATATCGCATCCAGATAAAAATGCTCAAGGGAAAAAAATGCTCAAGGAAATACAAATAGAAGGGCATTTCCTAAACACAATTAAGGATATATTCAAAACCAATAACCAGCTTAGATTCTTACCACACGTAGTCTGTAAACATTTCCCTTGAGAACAGGAACCAGATAAGGAAGCCTTTTAGTATCACTCCTTTAGAAAGGGAAATAAAGGCAAAGACATTGGCAAAGAAATAAAACTATCTCTACACGGAATCCAGGAACAGGAATGGGAGTAGCAATACTAGAAGGATAGGGGGGAAGTGGAGAAATGAAGGGGAGGAAGGGGGAACTGATCAGATGATTGACACATAATCACACACACACATAACCCCCCTCAAGGGGGACGAAAACAAAAACCATGGGGGAAGAGAGACGGGGCAGTATGATATGAAAATAATAATAATTTATAATTTGTCAAGGGGTCACAAGGGTCGGGGTGGGGAGGGAGGGGGAAAAAGAGGAGCTGATACCAAGGGTTCAATGGAAAGTTAGTGTCTAGAAAATAATGATGGCACCATATGGACAAATATGCTTGATACAATTGATGTATGGATTGTTATAAGAGCTGTTGGAGCCCCCAATGAAATGATCTTTAAATAAATAACAATAAAAACTATCTCTATTTGCACATAATATGATCCTATGGTAATTACATAATCTGGTGTCAACTTATGAAAGGGTAGGGTCCAGCCTGTCAATCAGGTTGCAGCTTAATGACCTCATTGGTAAATAGTTCACTGGAAGCCTCATACTCACTCCCTGCAAGACATTCTTGCTGACAAGACACACAGAACTACACTAGAGTCCTGGAGCTGGAGGAGCCATATGGAGACCCCTGACAGCATTCCCACTGCCACTGGATCCACAAGACTTTCCACTCACTGGCCTGTGATCTTCCTGCATTCAGCATCATTGCATGTGTTGCATGAGTCTGAAGAGGAATTTATAGATTGGTATCAGACATATAGGCTAATATCATAGTTAAGGACTTGATCTGGACTGGGCTGGGATGTTTTCTGAATATATAATTGCTCTTTTATATAAAATCCTTTCTTATACACATATGTCTCTGAAGTTGTTTCTCTAGTCAATGCAGACTAACACAGATCCTACACACACGCAAAATATCAGACATTAAGCGAGAAAATTACTAGAAGGATTCAGCAAAACCACAGGGTAAAATATCAACACACACACAAAAATCAGTTGGGTTCCTTTACATTAACAAAGAAAACTAAATAGGAAACCAGAAGAGCCACTTATTTTACTTCTAAATAACATACCACTTATTTAATTTCTGAAAAATTATTTTATTGGCACATATTCACACATCATCCAACTATATAGATCAATCATATCAAGAAGATTTATTCAATCATCAAAACAAATTTCAGAATGTTTTTTCTAATACTTAATGTATGTCTAGTAATTCTTGACATTCAAATGATCATTAATAAACATTATCTTTTAATAAAGATGAGTCAAAATTTCCTACTTTCACTAGAATTATACAATATTTTCCTGGCTTTTTTGCCAGTAAAAAACATTAAAAGAAAACCAGAATTCAAAAAAGACATGCACCTACTGAAGATGATAAAGTTGTCACAATGGATAGATAACTGAATAATATACTGCCAAACATAAAAATTATTTTAAAAAAGATTTTACAGATATTGCTACAATCCATATTTCCATTAGATCAAGCATAATTGTGCTATTTCTGCCATCATCATTTTCAATATTCTTCTTGAACTCCTTGATATTAGCTCCCTTTTATCTCCTCCCCACC